CGACACTTATGGTCGTCGGGCCCTCGGATTGCGGAAAGTCTACGTTATGTCGTATTCTTCTGAATTATGGCGTACGGATGGGACGGACGCCACTCTTTGTGGACCTGGACTGCGGACAGGGATGTGTGAGTATTGCGGGCACATTGGGTGCGGTGACTGTGGAGCGGCCCGCAGACATCGAAGACGGCTATTCACTGGTGGCGCCCATTGTGTACCATTTCGGCCACACCTCACCCGACGGTAATATCACTCTCTATAATATACTGATGAAGAGTCTGTCGAAAGCGGTTGATCTGAAAATGCAAACCGAAAAGAAGACCAAATACTCGGGAGTTATTATCAATACTTGCGGTTGGGTTAAGTCACACGGATATCAGGCCATCATTCGGGCCGCACAGGACTTCAACGTCGATATAATTACTGTTTTAGATCAGGAAAGACTGTATAATGAATTGGTTAGAGATGTGAACAAATCAGTTAAGGTATTATTAAACTATTAATTAAAACATAGAATCAATAAACAACTAAATTGTTTGTATTTCAGGTGATATTCACTCCAAAAAGTGGTGGAGTTGTGGAAAGAGTGCGAAAATACCGAATCGATGCGAGAGATGCGAGGGTTCGCTGGTATTTCTACGGCAGCGCGAAGTCAGGTCTATATCCGTATTCATTTGAAGTGCCATTCAATCAGATGAGAGTCTATAAGATCGGAGCCCCGAATCTTCCCGACTCTTGTATGCCTATAGGCATGAAAACTGAAGACAATCTGACAAAACTAGTGTCCGTTTCGCCAACCGCTCAGACACTACTCAACCATATTCTGGCCGTTTCTACGGCCACATCACTCGAAGACAACCTCAAAGTTCTTGAGTCCAGTCTCTATGGATTCGTTTGCGTTACTAATGTTGATGTCGAGCGACAAATGGTTACTCTTTTGGTGCCACAACAGCGACCACTTCCACAGAATAGCATTTTATTGTTATCTGACATTCAATTTATGGATTCCCATTAATACATCACATTATTATATTATTATATCTGCTTTCGTGTAATTTATATGATTTTATTTGTATGTATTTAATACACATTTTTGGCATTTTAGACAATTAATAATTTCAACACTAAATGACTGTTTATTTATTTGAATCCTAATGTCGAATGTGTTCTTTTTATTATACACTTTAAAATTTTAATAAACATTTAATTGAAAATTAACTTTTATTATGGCTTTTGAATTGATTGAAATGTATGGCATTTAACGTTAGACACTTCCCTTCCGGTCGAATATATTTTCAATTTTACGGGAATATATTTTTGGGAGGAAATATTTGTTAAATATAATAGTTGGTCAATAAATTAGATATTTAATGTGATTAGCAAAATATCTAACATCACAATAATGGCTACAATTGTGTGCTTCAAATTCAACCCATTGGGGATAAGACCCTGACTCTGATGGCACATATTGGCACATAATGTACAAGGTATAAATATAATTATTGATATTGTAGAGTGGTCAGCGGTCACTCAAATTAAATAACAAATAACTTTGTGTTCCACATATTGAACTTTATTGATTATGAATAACAATATAAAATATAAGTTTGAGTGTTGGAAACAGAATAAATTACTTAATGTATATGTTTTAACATTGGCTTACAGTAATAGGCTGTTCAAGTAAAAATGTTCATTTCGGCCATAACACAAAAAGTAATTAAGATAATTTGAATCTGTCTTCAGATTATAATAACACTAGTCCATGTCCACATCTCACATAAAATTTATCAGGAT